CGGACGTCGCCTGAAAGCTCGTCCGAGAGAGCGTCATGACGCTCTCTCGGCGGCGTCGTCGTCGTTGGGGTTGATTGTCGCAGATCTTATTATCCCCCCCTTGTTCTAAGGAGACTACGGCCACAAGATTGTGTACGTGTACGCACCCGTGTCCGTGGGCGCGCGCGCGCACGTATGTGTATGTGTACGAGCACGAGCAAAGGGTAGATCGTTGGAGGAGGGTGGCGTCCCCCTTCGTCCTCTCCCACTAGTCCCCCGCCACCCCCTGCAGCCCCAGGCTAACCTTGTTAGCGCTAATGACGGACTCCGCCGCGAGATGCGCGCGAGCCAAGGCAGGGACGTATCTCCCGTGACCCTTACAGGGTGTTGTAGGTCGAAGATGACGACGCTTGACTCTTGAGATATCTCTCGTGTCGTTATGTTGAAGTTGCACATTTCTTTCTTTCTTATTAATTGAGAAATTGATCGTTCGAAAGTAGTGGACGGAATAATAGTTTGGATTATATTTTCCTGATTTTTAAAAACTAAAAAATTTGCAAAAGCAATCAATACATATTCTGAATGCTTCGTTAGAATATTTTTTAATTACAAAATTACAAAAAAAATTGACGTTGTTCTCAAATAATTGCAATATGCGAATCTCATAAAATCTGCGTTTGTTATCTGTAGCAGAAATTTCAAATTAACATGCCGTGGTGATTTAATGAGTTCTCATAGCACTCCATATTGTTGTAGACACGTTTTGTTATTAACGCGTTCCGTTACGAACTTTACTTAAGCTTATTGGCAACGTTAAAATACTTCTAAAATTCTAGATAGAATCTGTATTTGAAAGGTGCTAAAAAGGTTTCTAAATCGAGAGAAAAATAGAGAGTGACGGAAAGAGCGAGAAGGAGAGAAAGAGGTAACGCGAGGGATTCTGGAAGCAACCCTCTCGACAGCCCCCAAAATCCATTAGACCGGAAAACGAGGTAGAATCGTAGAACGCAATGGCGTCTAGAAACAAACGACGGCCGATAGGAGTGAACAAGCAGTGAATCACCCAAGCACTTGTTTACCAAGAGAATCAGGGATTCAGGGATGCCGTTCTCCGACTCTTGGAATCCAGCCCCATCGCGCTCTTCGTCCCCCGTCCTCGCGGCCCCCCCGTTCGCCGCCTATCCATCGGCCCACTGCCTACCCACACCATCACCTTCGCCATCAGCTCACCACCGTCGTATGGGATCTTCCGAAGGCGGATGGAGTAGCTCTTCGCATACGTAGACACGCGCCGTATCTCGAGGAGCGAAGGAGAAACAGAGGTGGCGACAGAACGAGATGGAGAATGAAAACGACAGGAGAAGGAGAGAAAGCGGGAAGAGGGAAGTTACGCAGACACAGAAGCGGCACTAGAATCGCTAAATGTAATTCGGTTAAAAGGGTTTTAGCAATACAATGCATATAAACATGAGTGCCCCACCCTCGTCGTCGCCACGTCCTTCTGAACTACCTCTCTCTGCCCCTCCCCCCCCCTCCTTGCACCCTGTCTTCGCAATCCTCTTCCGCAACGGCGACGATTCTCGGCTTCCTTCTTGACGAGCTTCCGTTAGGAGATACGAGAGAAATCAGCTAACCGAGATATAACGTTCGCCGAATGAACGTCGGTGAGAATCTCGGAGTAAGATCGGACGATATGATTTCAGTGTTGAATCTATAAATACATTTTAGCATTTGAGATAGGAGATTTTCTCTCAAGTTTTTTTTAGAAATTTTAACGATACAAAATATGACTTTTAATAGAATACATTTTAATAAAAAAAATTCAAGTTTTTCAAATTTCAAATCTCTTTCATCCGTGTATCTGCTTCGTTATTGAATGCAGAATTTTGCTGGCTCAGAATCGTGGAGAATTTATATAAAGCATCGAATTAGCATTCCTGAGACTAATCGAGATTGATTTATAACTGAGATGTCACATGACGCGTACTACATGTAATGCGTTTTTCACTAAATTGCCGTCTGCGAATGATTGCGGGGCGAACGCTAATAAATCCCCGTGTGCCGGAAAGAAGGGAACACGCGGAAAACGCGAAGCAGGATTGGCCGTTATGCTAATTCTCTCGAGAGCGTCACGATAACACGCCTTCGCGCTCTCTCGGGATAACAGGTCGGCGGCATATTCCTCGAAAAAGCTTTACGGCCATTTCTTTTTTCCGCCACGCCGCACCATCGCGTAAACGGAGACGTGGCGCCATGCCAGAACGTTCTCGAGATCGTCCTGCCCGGGCAATCCTGGATTTTTCCTTGCAAATAATCACGCCCGGTAAAACTCGCTCGAGTTGCTCTCGCCACGGATTTTTCACGAGCGAAAGATGAAGATGAAAAATTGAAATGGCACACGGTGAATAGGGATGGGAAAAGAGTTGGCAAGCGAATCAGTAGTAAGACTGACGAATCTGCGCGACAGCGAAATTATGAGAAAAATGTACGTATAAGCGAAAAAGTTCGAACGTTCAGACGAATATATCCGTGTGCAATTTTAATAATGTTTGACTATCTAATTTCACTTGAATAATTTCTTCAATTATTAAATAAAAATGTTATAGGAATCACATAAAATATCTGGATCGTTATTTATTATATACAATGTTGCTTCGTTTAAAAAATTTATTTTATTATTAATTTCATTTACTCGCAGAAATATATCTGCACAAATTTTTAATTTTTCTCAAAAAGCAATTTTATATATATTTTAGTCCTTGTTTCGAATTGTATATATATCTTTGCTAGAACATTCACAAAATATTTTTCATCTCTTTCTTTTCGAACGAATCTTTCAATTTATCAATGCGCTCGACGTCTTCGATTTTCACGTGATGACTCTCGAGCTCGACGGAAAAAGGCAATGGTAGCGCGGGGAAGCGGAGCGCAGCAAGTAGTGACATCGATCCGCGTTCGTCAAATACGACTTTGCCTCCTTGTGCCGTTCCGCCGGGTGGTGACGTTCGCTGAACGAGCGGCTCTCCGCCGCCGGATCCGCCGCGGAATGTCGCGGAATTCGTAACTGGGGATTAGCATGTCATAAATACTGATGGCGCGGCGCGGCACTGTTCCTTCGAGTGCTTTTCGAAACACGCCGCTTCGGTTCTCCATCGAGCACTGCCAGTCAGGCCCGTCCGGGGGTGGTTATCCGTCGGGGGATGAAGCCTCTCATTTACAAGCCATATACCAATCAGCGGCCATCATGCAAATAACATGAAACCGGGCTCCCTCGCATACACGGCTGAATACCAGCAGATCTGGACATTTATGGCGCAAAATGCAAAATAAAATCTGATATTTTGGATATAACGGATTTTTGGAGTTATTTAGCATTTTTTTACTACGGAAATAATTCTAAAAATTACAAACTTATCTTAACATTGAAACTGACTTAAACATTTTGAAATAATTATTTACTTGAGTTAATTATAGCCCAAGTCAAATGTATAATACTTTTGATTTGGAGAACACCTGTATACATAAAATTTCTAGATAATTATGTTATACTAATCTACTTAAGAATGGAATTGACATAGACTTAATTTTGCAGAATATTGCAATCATGAAAAAAAATATTTTTTCTAAAACGACGAAAAAATAATTTTTATGTAAAATACGTAACTACTACAAAAAATTAATATTTTTAACTCGAACATGTCTTTCTCTCTTTCTCTTGTTGATGAGCAAAATATATAAAAATAAATAAAACAATATCTAATTAAATTTGCAATTGAAATTAAAACGACTATTAGGGAAAGATGATGTTTGAGGAAAAAGAAGAACGCCAGCGTGTTTTTGTTCGATTTCATAATTTATTTAGGAACTTCTCGCGATATATCATACCGTGTATCTGCATTGTATTCACTAACTTAGAACCTATGCGAATAATATTTACACTCACGTCGTATACCACATAAATACATGCTTTTCGCTCGTGCGCTCACACATAACAATACTCGAATAACGCTTATACTTGGACGAGTAGATTCTACCATCCTGTTGTTCCTTCACACCGTTTATATTAACAACGTTGCAATTCCAGCATCTACCAAGTGTCTCTCTATCTTACAAGCCGAGCGAACACAGAATAAATAGTTGCTAGAATGTCTATATACACGACGGATTTAGATTAAATGTCATCCGTCTCGAGGCTTCATAGATCTCGGAACAGACCTCTCTGCTATCACGTACATATGATTTGGGGCACACGATCACGGTGGAATAGAAATTTTTCACTTATCTTGTGTGTCAAATCTTATTTATTACCCGCCTTAGCCGAAAGACAGTAAACAGATAATTTGATTATACAGCCAATCCATTTTTTTGAGCAAGATGCTTTTCTAGTATCAGCAATAACGTATCTAATAATCGTGATTAAGAATCATTAATGATCGTGATCGTGAATACCGTTCATAATTATTTACATTAAAATTTTGGTATGATAAATTATAGAGATAAGATATATACATAAGATCGGCTATTTTTGGTAGAAAATCGGGGTCGATAGTAAGCAGGATTCGAAATTCCTCCATATCGATGTAATTTCGGTGATTCTGACACACACGAAAATAATCTCTATGTTCGTTTGTGACAATAAAAACGCGACGCATTAGCGTGAGCTTTATTTTACTCAGAAAAATTCGAAATTTTGTCACTTTGTCAATCCCTGATAGTATTTGGCAATTTTTGCTGTCACAGTCGACTATCAAAATTATAATATATTACCATCAATAGTAAAGCGGAATATTCTTGCTTTTTACTACTCGAAAATATCTACAGGAACAATCGCGCAGTTGAATTAATAAGTAGAACTTAATTCTAATAATCGAATCTTCAAATTCGAACGTGACTCTGAAACAAGCATTTCTCTAAACAAATTAATTTTCCAAGAAACAATAAGTGTTTGATGACTTTTTACACTTTTTTAACCATTAGAGGGCCAACAATATATTTTCTTTTGATTTTTCAAGAGAAATATATTTCTTTTCGCTTTCTTCATTTTTTAAAATATAAACTAATGATATTAGCAAAAAATATTTCTATCTACCTGCATTTTAAGCTACCTGTTTTACGAAATTATTATACGTAACAAGACGCGTAGCGGGAAGTCTTGTAATCCTTTGCAAAATGTTGGTCCTCCAAGGTTTAAACATGCCTTTGTTAATCTTTTAGACCACGTAAGGTCGATACAAAGGTTCCTGAAGGTCTGTACTGGATCTCTGACTTTCCTGGAGCGTACTTCTGGAGCGTACTTCCGGTACTTCCTCCGGTGTCTCAGGTGCGTTCACGCTGACGTCGCTTCCGTTGTCCCTCTCAGCGCTTCTTGCGCTTCCGGTTTCCTCAACTTTTACACTCGTACGGGCTTCCTGCTGCGCCTTTTTGCTACGCTTCCATTTCATTCGTCGATTTTGAAACCAGATCTTTACCTGCAATGAAAATGCAGCGTGCAATTATTTGTGTCGATGCCGATCAAATTTATCGAGTTTGTTTATTGCGCGCAAATCGAAATGATTGCGACGAAGATGAAAAGATTAAAGGCATCACGCGGTGATAAGCGGTTTCTTGGAACTAAGAACTATCGCGCGCGCGATGTCTGCGCTGATATATTTCGGCACTGCGTATAATGTATATTTTGCGCATTTAGTTTGAGATCATTACGAAATACGTGCGTGAGAAAGATTTATAGAGCAACTAACCACTTAAATATATTCGCATGCAATATATAATAAAACATGGTTAATGTTATTCAAAGCACAATAAAGATAATTTAAGTTTTTAAGGTATCTCGAAGTATTTTGTTACAAGCATATTTATTTTTGGCTCACTTAATCAATTGATTATCTTATACAATAAATATCAAAATTTTAAAAATACGCACGTCTTTCAAAGTCTTTTCAAATTTTTCAATTTTTCGTACTTATATAAGTTATATTTCGATTCTTTCTCAGTAAAATAAAGTTTACGCCAATATGTTCATAAACTCAAATAGTTGCCAATTTGATTTGGAGTTGATGTTAGCGTTGAAAGTGCTAATTATCAGAACTGACGATTTATCAGCTTAAGTACTTCGATTTCAACACGCTCGGTCCACGCCCGATTTAATTTGCCGAATGCGTGCTCCATAAGCGCGAGCAATGTCGCGTGAGCCACCCCGCGAGACGCCGTAAATCAGGTAGACAGATACAGGGACTCGATTTTTCCTCCCCAATCGTAAGAAAACGATGTAAATCTTTCGGACAACATATCATGCGCCCGGGCCAATCCCCTCCAGGCACGCCGACCGTATTATATCTTTACCCTTCGCGTGGGAGCGCAGCTTTCTTGTACGAATATGAATGGGAGACTTCGGAAACGACGTTTCGCTGAATTCTCACGATTCTTACCGAAAAAATCTTACGTGTAAAGAAATTAGTTTCTAGATTCTAATAGCTACGAAGGATTATATCAGTACACACACACACATACACAATGGTTTACTCTTTATAAATTAAATCGATGTAATTTTGATGTAATTCATTCACGATAATGTAGCTATGAATAAAAAGAAAACAATCAGGCAGTGTAACGTAACATAGTATAACATTCGAAAACCAAACTTGATGAGAATATTCATTTCTTTCGAAACTCGGGTTTTACTGCGGAATACGACAAGCACCATCGCTTTTCGATCAGTTGGATAATTTGATAGGCGAAACGCAACGACGGGGACTTACGTAAATCATTCGTGTCGCGTTAACAAATAATTCGGAGCGCGAGGTAAACAAGCGCGGGAGTTGAATTCGGCGGGAGGATAGGAGGCGGGGGGACGAGAAGGCGCGAATTGTAGGCGCGAGTGAGTCGGTCGAAAAAAATGGATCGAAGGTGGGAAAAAAAGCGATGTGTGAAAATAAATATTTGTTGTCGATAAACCGACGAGCGATAAAGAGCAAGTGAGCGATAAAGAGAGAGAGAGAGAGAGAGAGAAAAGAAATAGATCGCGCTGTAAATTATCTCGCGAGCCGAAATTAATCGACACCTTGTACATAGAAAACCAAACGACGATGAATTATGGGGCGCGCAGAGCGTTCTCTCGCGATACGATCTCGATCACGGTCGCGTTAATTGCCGAAGATATTTTTCTCGCCGCTATCATCGTAGAGCTCGCGTGTTATTATGATTATTATGTTCACGGATCACAATTTCGCGACAATTATATCAGAATATTATTATATCAGATAATTATAATTATTATATCAGATTTTAATTAATACAGTAATCAAGAAATCGTTGTTATAAAAAATGAGATTGCGAGCTAAATGTCAAATTGCTTCGGTAAGAATTCGAAAGAAAACAACTGTCTGAAAATAGAATGCAGAATGTACCGAAAAAATTTATGTTTGACCTTTTACTAGGTGCGCAACTAAGTTTCCGGGTTTCACACATGAATGGCGCTAACGATACATGTAGTCGATATACATGTCTAAAGTTGTGTTTTTTTATTAACTTGGACATCTGTCAACAATAACCAGTCATAATACCAACACATATTGCAACGCAAAAATATTTTTTCTAACAATAAAGATGTCGAGTTTTGTGCCAAATAAACAGCATTTGCGGGAAGCTTTGCTTTTCTGCTTCAACTTGAAAGAAAATGCAGCTGAAGCACGCCGTTTGCTTGAGAAAGCCTACGGCGAACATGCACAATCGAAAACTACTTGTGAAGATTGGTTTAAACGCTTTAGAAATGGCGATTTCGACACTGAGGACAAGGAGCGCTCCGGAAGACCAAAACATTGAGGACGCCGATCTGCAAGCGTTATTGGATGAAAATGATACGCAAACACAAGACAACAACAACTGATAAATTTGAACCATGCATTGCTCGAAAAACGGCCAGAATGGGACACGAGACACGAACGAGTGATATTGCAGCACGACAACGTTCCGTGCCATCGCACTTCCATCGTCCAGGACACCATGAAAACGCTGAAATGGGATCTGCTACCGCACCCGCTGTATTCACCAGACCTGGCCCCTTCCAATTATCACTTGTTCCGGTCGATGGCACATGGCTTAGCTGGGCTACACTTGGCCAATTTCGAAGAAGTGCAAAACTGATTGGATAAATGGTTTCGATGCAAAGACGCGTCGTTTTATCGTCGCGGTATTCATGTATTGCCAGAGAGATGGCAAAAATGTGTAGCTAGCGAGGGACGATACTTTGAATAAACCGTTTTTTGTATTTCTCTTGAAATTTTCCATTTTGCATTGATAAAAAAAAACCCGGAAACTTAATTGCGCACCTAGTAATTGTCGAACCTGCATATTTTCTGAATTTCTACATTAAACTTTCGTATAATACTTTTATTCGTTAACTTTTAACAATATATGATATTTATTGAAAAAGTTTCTTGGGTTTGATAATAACAAAAATTATGATAAAAAGAGAGATTTATCAGGATACCATATAACTTTCGCCTTTTTTCAAATAAACGCATTTTTTGTCAAGCGTCGCGACAGATTTCGTCGTGATGCTCGCGCTTGGACGGTAAATCGCCGGTAATCGCGTTTCTGCAAGCGCCGGAACTCAGACGTGAAATGGGAAACAGGACCGGGAAGGAGGAGGAACGCGGAGACCGAGAACGTGGAGGCGAGGAGCGAGGCGGAATCGGTAAAATATCGAAACAAATCAGCGACTGAGCCCGCCATAACTCAGACTTTCACGTCTGTTTGCCGAGCGATCCGTCAGAGCTCGTAAGCTTCGGAGTTATGTTTAAGTTGTTGAACTATGCGAGAGAGATTCGCGTGCACACGGCGCCGGATGGAGGGAAGGGCGGACCGGATTATTCGGAGGGATTTTCTCTCTTTCGAGGGTCTTCTTTTTTCCCCCGAGCTAAGCGCTCGCGTGACCTCGCGAATTTCCATTTCCGCGCTATTTACCGGTCGATGTCGCTTAACTCCTCGTCGGACGACTCCTGACGCTAACTCAACGCCAGCTCGCGCCGAGAAATAATTGATGTGATTTCTTCAATTTCTAACGAACGATTTTCGTATCAACGCGATGTAATTGTCCAAAGATATCGTTTTGAGAAAAAGTAGATGTTGTGTAAAATAATTCTTAATCTTTTTTTAAGCAGAGCTTTTAGTGGCTTTGCACGGCGATTTTGATAATTGTTGCAAATGGTGTAATAAAGTTAAGATAAAATTCGTTTTACGTTCCACCAAGTGTTTCTTGCCATTTCTCTTACACTAGAAGTGACATCGATAAGCCGTTTTATTGCATGATACTTTATCGTGGATCTTGAATTATAGATGATTCACTATTCGCGTTACATTTCGTCTCTCTACTTGGACGTGAGTAATAAAAATTGCTAATCGCGATACTTATCGCATCAGAGATGATTCACTGGCTCAGGGTCGTCATTGAATTTCGGATATCGAGAAAGGTAAATGCGCGATTCAACATCATTATCTCGATTTACCTGCGTTTCTGTGAGCATCAGCGACGTCGCGACTTCGAACCTCTTCGGTCTGCTGAGATACTTATTTTGTCGGAATTGCTTCTCCAATTCGAGAAGTTGCTGCGATGTGAAGGCGGTCCTTGGCCTCCTGGTTTTACCCAGCAACGCATGTTGTGCCGCGCAACCTGTTACAAAAAATTGTTCTATTTGAATAATGTGCAATTATGATAGATTGAATTATACTGGACGGTCAACAATATTTGCGATAAAATTATATAATCGATAAATTCTACAATTAAATTCTACAATTAAATTCTATAATTAAGATATACGAAATTGTACGAGACTTTTACTTTTGATACGTATATAATTATCTATAAATATAATTATCTGAATGAATTGCAATCTCATCACGAGTATTATATTGATTTTCGTACGACGAAAGCTTTCAGTTAAAAAAAATTTTTTTTTATTAAATTTGTTTGTATCCGATAAAAGTTACAAATTGAATGTGATTTTAGTCTGGCAAACAGGTCGGAGAGCGAAAATGATTCATTATTGCGAGCCGGACGATCCAATAAAAATCATCGAATGCTAATGCAATTATCGCGAGTGTAAATCCCTATGGATTACGGGGGATGATTTGGGGTTAGACGATAGGGCGGAAAGCCGCCCCTGCAATTAGCCCCGTGAATGACTCTTGGTCGGGGGAGAATCACCGACTTATAGCACCATAGGCGTAGAGCATCATGGAGTTTGCTGAGATAATTGTCTCAAAATAATTAAATATAATCATAACACTATCGCAATCATTCAAAATATAATGAAGACGCGATTGTATTATTGTGTCACATAATAATACAATATATCCGTGTTAATAATTTACCTATGTTCTAAACGTGCTTATTATTTATTTATGCAAAATCATCTATTTTATTACACAGTTATAATTTATTTTCTTACCAATAACATCATTTTTTTTTAAATTACTTATATCATAAAAATGTTAAGTTACTGTAAATATTTATAATGTAAAATAGATTATATATTTAATAAAATTTAACGGTCAAATAATAAATTCAATGTTTTTTGTTGCAGGTAAGTAACTATATTCTTCTGGAAGAATGCGGCTTGCTGAATCGGTGAGTAACTCAGCAATATTAAAAGCACAACTGTGCTTTATTTTCTCTTATTCATTTAAATAATTGCAGTCGCAGCGACTGTCGTTTTAGTTTGAAAGCGATTTGATGTTGAAAATGAGCTTTACAAATTTGAAAAAGCATTGAATTATAGAGAACACTTATTAAAATGCAATTTTAAACTTATAAAAATTTCAATGCTTCACGGAGGATTTGAATTAGTCCAAAGTTTAAAATTTCGACGCGTATGAGAAACATCATTATTTTTGTCACCGCGACGCCACGTGTTTTTGTTGTTGCCGAGCATTATGTCCATTGGGTTTCCACGATTAGCAGCGGGGTAGGCCTTGCGTCATTGGCTTAAGCACCCTCGTAACTTAACTAGCAAGTGTGTGACCGGCTGTCAGTGTTTGTACACATGGCGACGTTTAGTGGAGCGCATTCGGCTTACCGGTCTCTGTGTGATTCACTAAGCTGCGTATGAGCAGGTACGCATGCTCTTGCTTTCCCTCCAAGATCTGTGTATTTTGATATTAGGGCGGCGCGATTTCACGGCCGATACAGAAATAAGTGACAGTTCCGATATCTCGATGTAATACTTATCGCTCTTACATAACGCGGTGCATACATCTCCTCCTAAATTTAACACACGCAACACAAATATTAAGAAAAGAAATAACAAAATGTTAATAATAATATAAAATTATATTAGAAAAGAGGTTGTATTAATTAAAAATTTTAGCTTCAAAATCCACCCATAAATAATTTAAGTAATTGTATTAAATTTCTAGTAATTTTATTAAATTTTTTCTCGCGTAAATTTAATTCTTATTTCATATTTATGATACATAAAAGCGATACGTTTGATAATTTTTATCGTTATGGATTGAAAACATATGATATTTCCATGCGTGGAGCACTTTTGACGATTGAAAACAAGCACCGCGCACGAGGGACGAGGAACTACATTTGATAGTTGTTAGTATTTAGACTGTAGCATTTATTGGGTTATTTATCGTTGAACGAAGTGAAGTTCGACCTGCCTCCCCCCGCTGTGCACATATGGCCTGACCGATGATTTCCCTTCCCGCTGATTCGTGACAATTATTATTTGCACCATTGCGCTCCTCGCTCGCCCCGTCATGATTTATTTTTATGTCCTTTTTTCAATTTTATCGTTCGGATACCATCTACGCACACAGCGCCTATTAGATCCTCGTGACACGCTACATATGATATTATTCATTATGGAAAATTTTAACGTGAAGCTACATGGCGTTTTATCCATTGTGCTTTGTCTCTAAGAGAAAATTTTGCATACTTAATTTTTTACAGCCACGTAGTTGTATTAATTTTATAATCAATCGCTAAATTTTAATCTGCAATCACTTTTAGTCAATATGATTAAAAAGTCAAGATGATTGAAGATAAGAGTCCAGACATCTATTTTTCATATTACCTATTTTAATTCCTGATAATTAATTTTATGCGATGATGATAATGATAATATATCGGCAATAACAATAAAAATAATCCAAGCAATTTTCGACCATCGATCAGGATCAGGAATTTAAAATTTGTTGCAAACACATTACTCTTCTCTTACATTAAATTTCAACAAAATTCAGAGTATTAAGTAACAAATCACCCAAAATGTGCAAAATTAATCACAGTTTTGCTAACTTCTTGGGAAAACAGGTTGTTAATTCAATAATCAGTGCAAATTCTGATTTGTTAAAGATGAAAACACACCAAGCAAGTTTGGACATTTAAGAATCGCGTTCATTATCCTTTAAAAGTCTCAGAAACGAGAAGAATGACAAATAGGCGCCATAAATAATCGTACCCTTCATTGCCGAATTAAGAATAATTATTCATTGAGCTACCGGTGCAATTACAGGCGCACCGAAGAAATTCAACCGCCGCGATCGAGGGGGTTATAACTGACATACGGTACGTAACCCCATATCGTAGGGATGCCGCGTTAACTAAAGCGCTAACTAACTGCAAACAATCCCCTCGAATAAATAAACGCATTCTGGCGCATCGTGCAATCGCGAAGTTGATAACAATAATCGAGAAGCAAAATGACACAGTGATCGTTATCGATACTTTGTCACAATAGTGATAAGAATTGTAAAAAAGTTGAAACACACTGCAAAAGAATAAAGAACGTTTGTGCATTATGTTCAACACGTGCAGCGTATTACTTCTTTTTCTTCCGATTAATTTGCTCCAAAATTAAGATTCGTCAATTTTATGTAAAACTTTGAAGCATTTATAATTAATTGTTGCAATTGATTTCTGCAGCTATTCAAGACATATTTGCGCTTGAATTGGCCTAATTTTATTGACACGTGGAGAATGCACCGTGTCCCGTTAAATTGATCATTTGGTACACTGCGCGTCGATCGGGATCGGGAAATGCGCAAACTGTGACAGATGTCGGTAAACACGAGAAGGGCGACTTTATCGAGTGGACAATCACTATTCGCGCTCTTATATCGAGGGAGTGCCGCGGGGAAGAGCGGGCAGGGACCTTTATCATGATAATTTAATTTATTTGGGGTCCCATCGGCCGCTTCATGCCGGGCCACCCTTAAATCGCGCCGATCATCGCGGCGGTAAACACCACCTATTATCTGTACTTAAAGCGGCCACTCACCCTTCGCGTCGTGCCATTTTGCCCCCCTGTAGTTTTACCCCCTCGAAAAATTACATTCTACCGGTCGTATGAATATCCGTTGCAATGAGGGATGGCAATGCGGTAGGTATCGCAGCGATTTTTGCTTCGTTGACGCGGCTGCAGATAATGAAACGAGATGAGTCGGCATTTTCGAAATTTTTTTCTAGCTTTCTCTAGTTCTCATCGCCAAAAAATTTCAATTATATTTATAAATTAATTATAAATATCGGTAAAATGGAATGTTTATACGATTTTGTGTTTCTTTCATTTTTCGTTATTTAATAACTTTTTTCATAGTGCAGTATTTTTCGAAGTATAACAATTTTAAATATAGCGCGTAAATTACTTTTTCTTTGCAGTAACTGTTATGTAATACTTACGAAATTAATGATCCGAATATAACTCTTTTTCTCGCCGACCCGAGATCGGATTTCGTGCGACTTTTTTTTAGGGTCGGCGAATCGCACGGTATCTCGGACTAACGAGTAACTACCCTCGTTAACTCCCGGGCGAAAGGTACGCTTAATTAAAACTGATTACTCGATCCGAGCTCCCGCAGGAACTTCACCTTCGTTTTTAGTCCTTTTTGCATCGCCCGAATGGTGGCGCGTTACCGAACTACCCGAATGCTCCGTGTTACGATTACGAAAAGCATCGCGACGCATTCCCCGTGGTAAAATAACTTTTTATTACATGCGGTATATATTTTAGGCATAAAAATCATTATCGTTATACAATTATCATATTATTATTTCTAAGCATTTTAATTAGTTGATTTTAATTAATAGTGACTCGCTTGTTTCTTTCGTCATCCGGTCAGAAATTCCATTTTAATTTGCACTCCTATTTTCGACAGGAAATAGGAATTGATTCGTCTTTTATAGTTAGAGATGCATCGATCCGCGCTCATTCCTCTCTCGCGCAGTGACGTGGTTCTACGTAGCAGCCGAAAATGGCCTCCCTCTAATGGGCAGCAATTACCCAATAGCGAATTGCAAATTGGAATTAGCGTCCTAAATCGGCGTGTATACCTCTAACCGTGCCGCTGTACCCTCCGTTGCTCGGTCCGGCTTGCACCGTGCGCGCTCGCCGTCTCGAGGGGGACGGAGAAAGGGGAAAGCGAGGGTGGATAGCGCGCGGGAGGGAATGGGAGGGACGGTAAGCGAGCGAAGGGGTTGGTAACGACTTCGTCGGTGGTGCGTTCTCTCAGCTTTTGCTTCCGTGTCTGCGTTATAGCATGTCCGTGCGTGGAAGAGCGCGGCTCTGTGTGTTTATCCGTGTACGTGTACAGGGCGTCGTGCGCGCGTGTGTGCGGCGTCGGCAAGCCCCGCCCGCGGTCCCCGGAGCCCCTTCACCGTGT